GCGCGATGTCCGGTCCGCTGGAAATTTGAGACCCCGAGGGCCCGAGGGGTCTGTGTGAATGCACGGGCACCAATTGGAAGCCTTACACCCAGGAACCAAGAACCGGCAACTCGAAGCCCGATCTTGGCAGTTGCCGCAAGACGTTCCAGGCCGCTAAGGTTGCTTCAAGGTCAACCTAGACAAAAAGTGCAGGGTTGGACTCAGCAAGGTGCGGACGCAAAGGACAAGAGCTAACATGTAGATTGGGGAAGGATAGTTTGTAGCCTGTGCTTGAACCCAATGGCTGAGCAGCTTGTGCCACTTGCTCTCCTTCGCTTGCAAAGGCAAGCCCAGAGACGTGCGCGAATGGGGCTCACTGCTTGGGCAGTTCACCAGCACACTCGCACCAAGGGAGGGGGTATGGGTCAAAATGAAACCGCCAGGAATTGGACCGCAGAGTTTAGTCCATGTTTCCATTTGCCGGGGCAAGCCATTTTGGGGTTACCCCATTTTTGACAACCACTGCCATGTGTTGCGCAGTTCCGGAGCCGCACTCACGAAACTGGAGGCCAAGGGAGGTCTTCCAGAGGTGGACTCCGGGAGTATCTGTCCATTTTTTTGTTTGGAGGGGTCTCAAGTTAGAGTTGGGTGGATTTCACAGGTAAGCTTGAGAGCGTCCCCTGGCCGTGGGTCAAAACCTCGCAATTTCGGTGAACATCCCAATCCCCACTAAAGTCCCGACTAAAAGTGGGTGGTGCACCTATCCCAAAATGGTACCATTGGTTTCGAACCATGGCCACCTGAATGAACTCTGGGAGGACCAGAACATCGGTTCAGTGACACGTCTCGGAGTCTCTTGGACTCCTTCGCCCTCGGAATGCGCGCGCGGACTCCGAGCGCGGGCAGCGCTTGGCTGCTGCTGCCGCTGCTCTGGCAGGCACGGGAATCACGCGGGAGACGTGGGGCATGGGATCACGGGCCCTCTTGCGCGGCCTTCAAGGTGAGAGCCGAGGAAATCTCAGGTCGTGTGCCCTTTCCGTGGTGGACGTTTCTGTTTCTAAGAGCCTGCACCCGGCCGATGGGATGTTTACCGGTTTTTGCGTTGCCGTAGGTCCTTCAGAGTTTCCTCACGGGCCGTCCATAGCTTCCGCACAGGCTCTCATAGATTAGCCAAAGCCTTGTCCGGGGATTCGATGGGTTGGGAAGGCTGAGGCGAATTTCTGCTGCGATCTAGAGGCAAGGCTAGGCGTTTCACTTTACCAGGACAGAACTGTATAGTCTGGTTATTGTTTGCTATTAACTTTGGAGCCCTCATGTTTCTCATTTTCAAGCATGGACAACGAATGTTTCTTGGCTAACCCAGCGACTTGATAGCATAACTTGTCATCCTCGGTACTTAAGCAGCAGTCCCATATGGGAGTGTCTGATATTTTGTTTTCATGGTGTGCTGGATTCCCACCTGGGATTGTCCTCAAAGGTTCCCAACCCACGCAAAAGGACCCCGACGCAAATCCACTGCCAGCTCTGGAGTCCGAGCTTTGCGGTGCCCAGGCAAGGCAGGCGGGGGGGGGGGGGGGGTGCAGGCATGTCTTGAAGCCGAAATTGCGCGCTGGATCTGAAAGAGCCATAGCAACTCGCTCACGACCTCACGACCTCATGACCTCACGCACTGATGACGGTTCTTTTTGTAGGGAGGTCTCATTTGAGAATTGGTAAATCATTGTGATTCATTCAGATTGTGTTTCAGTTGCAACTGCAAAAATGGCTTTGCTTGCTCAGGGGGAACCTACACTTGGATGGCGGCCGTGATGTTTGGTCTCAAGATGAGAAACTGTCCCCCAGGAAGAGTCGAGTCTAGCAAACAAACAAGCCTTTGAGCCTGTATCAATCAAATCAGAAGTAACGCAGCGTTTTCCCATCACGGGAGAATTCCGTGAGAGATGTCTCTTCGTATTCGAGCCTAAGAGCCTCTTTGCAAAGGTCGCCCCTTCTTGATTGCGAGTCATCAGCTGCGATGTGTCAAACTTGGGTTGTCGTCCAACGGGAGTCCTAGATAATTGAGCGCACCAGCAACATCCGCACCTGGCTGGAGGTTCTCTTTGCTGAGCTAGGAAGCTCGAAGCCTCATTGCATGTCCTGAGTCGACCATGTATTCATTGATCAGGCTCTGCAGATGCTAAAGCGTCAAAAAGCTCATTTCGCTGGTGACGGAGCAGGGGATAAAGCTTGCCTGGGGTTGGTGCCGTCCCACTGGCGATGCAACAGGCGCGCTACAAAGCTAGAGTTGGACTTGGAATCAGAGATCCAGGCGGGCATTGGGACTGGCTTGCAGCGATGTGTGCAGCTTTGCGGGCTGCCTTGCGTCTTGCTCGAGCAGTTGGCATCGCTTCCATAGTCTTTTTCGCAACCTGGCCCCCACTGGTATGACTGCTTGCGGGGGAAGCGCACAAGCGCAGATTTTACACAATTCGCTTGAACTGGTCTTGGATGTTTCCAAGCCTTCCGTCCAGCAACGACGCCCAGAATGACTAGTACGCATGCCGCATGCTTTTACTTCTGGATTGGCCCCAAACCGCAACTCCTTTTGGCCTAGGATTCCTTCACATGAGCGGCGCTCAACAAATCTCTCTTGGCCAATATCACAAAGGATTCTATTCCCTAGTTCAGCGAGGAGTAAGCTAGGTAGGGCGATCCTCCAGCTTCATGTATTTAAAAGCCATGTTGGGATTCGCTTGTTGGATGAACAATGGGCGAACCGGTGCCCCCGTTGCTTGCTCCGTGTTAAGCGCTCAGGCGGCTGTGCGGCCTGGCGCTTTCAGCGCTACCCCTGAGGCCCACCGGAGCGAGGGTCAATTTGCGGCGTCCCATTGGGCCAATGTCTTTCAGCCTGGGCGTTTTACTTGAGAACCAGTTTGGACATAGATCCACGCTGAGATGTGAGTTGACAAGGTTGAAGACGGGTTTGTAGATTTGAATCAGGTCTCGTGCGAGGCTAAAGCTTTGTCAAGGGTGGTTTGCAGTACCTTCACAGGTAGGATCGAGGTGAACGTCGCTTAAACCAGCAAATGCTTATGAAACATGTGGTGTATGCCTTTGCAGACACGTTTATGTGCTGGTTTCCAGGGCAGTCCAATTGACGCGTTCGCAATCATGCCCAGCCCTTGAAAGATCGGTCTCTCCGATTGGGTTCTGCCAACATTCATGGATACTGCGCGAGCAGGAGCGATCGGCCGCTTGCCCCAGCTATCCTCAGCTCCTCAGCTCCTCAGGGCCTCGATTTGCCTTTTGACCGAAGTTTAGGGACCCCCAAACAGGGGCTTCACATGCAAAGGGGGTGCCCGTATTTTCCCAGAAGCTGGGGTCCGGAGACGGTCGCTTGCTTCGGGCGTCGCTTCAAGGCAGGGCAGCGCATCGCCAACTTGGCCGCAGCGCTGGAGAGGGAGAGCCAGGTGTCCTGGTGGGGCAGCCCGGCCAGGGGTCAACTCAAGGGCTCTGGATGCGCGTCTGGAGAAGTTCTTGATTTTCCAGATCCCCCATTTTGACACCAGAGTTTCTTTTGAACTCCAGGAGGAGTTTCCTTTGAAAGGGTGGAAAAAAGGGTTTCCTTTCAGAGCATGCGAGAGTCTTTATGTGATGGGGGATTGTTTTCATTGCCATTTGGTCAGGAACTGACAAGGGCCCGATTGGGAGGGGTCAACGGCCCATGTTTTGTCAGCACGTGCCTAGCTGAACGATCCTCTCAGAGCTGCTGATTTCAATCAGGAGGGACGGCGACCTTGAGAATCTGAATGGCACCTGGGCCGCTTGGACGTCAATTCAGTGCGACATCTAGAATGGCTCCTAGTTTTGACTCATGTCCCTTGGACATGTCCTAAATCGGAAACCCGAACTCATGGTCCGCTTCAGATTCACATACTTTTAACTTGCGTGTCGGTTTCTTCATTCATTCAAGAATCATCCCCAGTTGCTGAGGACCTTCTCTACACAAGCAATGCGGAGGTCGACCGAGCAGACCTGAGGCTGGTTTGCTGGCGAAGCCTGTTGATGCCTGGTTCGCGATTGCCTCTGTGAAGAGCTACACGTACAAATCTAAATGATTTGTTTCCTCCCACAAGTTGACAAGGAACCTGACAGGGGGGGCCTGGAAAACCTCGTTCCTTCCTTTTCTGTGGCAGTGGGACCATTTTGGGGTAGGTGCACTACCCATTTTAGAACCTATTTTACTGGGGGTACCAGGATTTTGACCCATGGCCATGTCTTTTTCCATGGATCCAACGGGTTGGACAGGCAGCTGATCCCCGGGCTGGATGACCCGCCCTTGGAGCGCGTGCAGCAGGAGATCGACGTGCAGGCCCCTGCGCATCGGATCTAAGGAAGACCTGATGAATGGATGAGACACACAGAGGGAATTCAACAGTCCGGATGGATTGGAATTGAGCACCAGGATTCAAGAAAGCCGAGAAAGCAGTTGAGTGGACCTAATTCGGCTTGAACCCTTCAAGCATGGGCGCTTTGACCTCACAGCTCCAGGCCATGTCAGAGAGCAATTTGACCGGGCCCATTAAAAAGAAAGAAAGTGTCTATGAATTTTCATGGGGACGCCAGACGGAGGGCCTGTTTTTTTCCGTTTTATAGGACTTTTTTTTGTTTTTCAGGGTGGGTGGCTTTTTGGCTTTTTGGCTTTTGTGGCTTTTACGTGGGTTTATGTGGCTTTTGTGGCTTTTTCATTTCGCATCCTCTGCATTCACAGTTCCTCTCTTTACAGCTTTGTATTGGGTTCATGCGGCTTTTGCGGCTTTGGCTTTTCGCATCCTTCCGCTCCGGCAGGTGGCTTTTTGGCTTTGTGGCTTTTGGCGGCTTTCTGGCTTTGGCTTTTCGCATCCTCTGCTTTCCCAGTTGGTTTTTGGCCTTGGCTTCCTGCATCCTCAGCATCGCCAGTTCCTCTCTGGTGCCCCCGCCACCCCCCCATTCGATTAAAACCCCAAATTGAATCACTTTTTCGATTATCATGTGACAGATAC